TTATTATTATTAATTATATTATTATATCATCATCATCATTATTATCATTATTACTAATATTATTATTGTGGTCATTATTATTCTATTCAATGTCATTATCATCATTATAATCACTGCTGTTATTATTTTCATTACTAATACTTTTGTTGTTCTTCTTATTATTGTCATTGGTATTAGTTTATTAACATTAACATTATCATTATCACTATTACTATTATCATCGTTATTATTATTATTATTATTATTATTATTATTATTATTATTATTATTATTATTATCATTATTATTATTATCATTATTATTATTGTTATTATTATCATTATTATCACTACTATCATTGTTATACCATTATGAATATTATTATGAATACTATCATCATGATAAAGATGATAAGGATGTTGATGGCAATAATGATACTACTACTACTACTAATAATAATGATATTGATAATAATGATGATGATATTGCTACTACTACTTCTAATGATACTGTTGATATTAATAACAATGATCATAATAATAATATCAATAACATAAAAATAATAATAATGATTATAATAATGATGATGATAATAATAATTATAATGATAATGATAGTGATAATGACAGTGACAATAATGATAATAACAGCAGGAAAATAATAATGATAATATTGATAACAATGATGTAATGGTAATAAAAATAATGATAGCATAATGATAATAACAACGACAAAAATTAACAATAATGATATTAATAATAATGAAAATGATCATCATTATCATCGTTACTGTCATTATTGTAATTATCATTACCATTATTATTATTATCCTTATTGTTATTATCATCATTATTATTATTATTATTATTATCATCATAGCTATTGTTACCATTACCTTTATTATCATTCATATTTTCACTATGATTATTATTATTGTTATCAATTACATCACCTCTGTCTTTATTAGTATTTGGTATCTGTGTTTATATTTCTCTCTTTATCGTTCTCTCTCTTTCTTCCTCATTTCTTTTTCTCCCGGAAAATTGATTTGTTCTGCTTGTTCTATTTCTTTTTGATATATATATATATTTTTATTTTCTTCCTCTCTTTGTTACATCACTATTATTAAACTTTATCTTTTTTGGTATTTGTACCTTTCTACTTTGAGTCTTTATAATCATTTCATTTTTTTTTTTTTCTCGCTTTTCCCCTTCCTTCCTGTTCGCTTTTTTTCTCTTCTTTTTCTTTGTTTTTGTTTCTGTTTATTTTTCTTGGATCTCTTGCACTTCCTTTCTTTTCTCTTATCCATTCTCTCCTTCCTCAACTCTTACTGCCCTCTCTCTCCCCCTCCTTCCTCCTTTCTTCTCTTCTCCTTATCCTCCCATTTTCTTTCCTCCTCCTCTCCACTCCCTTTTGTCCCCATCTTCCTTCTTCTTCTCCCTCTCCTTCCTTCCTCCCTTCTCACCTTCTCCCTTTTACACTCCACTTATCCATCCTCTTCCCTCCCCACCATCTCACCCTCACCCATATCCCTCCCCATCCTCCTCCCCTTGCCCTTCCCCACCCCCCTACCCCTTTTCCCTCCCCTTCCCCCCCCTCCTCACCCCCTGCCCTCCCGTCCGCCGTGAATTACGGAAGGGTTGGCAGGGGGCGTTCGGGCGGCTACAACTTATTATCTCGCCGCCCACACTGTCTAAACAACAGCACCTTCCCCCGGCGGCGCGCGGGCGAGAGGGGGCTAGCACGCCGCCCCGCCGCCCGCGACTCCCGCCCTTGCGCCCTCGTGCGGAGGGGCGGCGGAGCGGCGGTGGGGGCAGGGTCGGCGTGCCCGCGCGCGCCCGGACGCCAAGGCAAACCTAGTAATCGAAATTCGATAGAAAATCACAGAATTGCAATGAATATAAATCACGCGAGGAGGTCCGGCGATCGCAGAGGCCTGGTGATAAAATCATTAGCAGAACGAACTCGGCCGCGCCGTCGCTGCCGCCGCCGCCGCCGCCCGTGTGCGCGCCTGCGTGGACGTGTGTGTGTGTTTTCTTTGCGTGTTCGCGTATGTGTTTGTGTATGTGTGTTTCTGTGCGTGTTCGTCTGTGTGCGGGTGTGCCTGGCATGTGCATGTCCGTCTGCGCCCGCGTGCCTGGGCGGGACGGCGGGCGCCGGGGATTTATAACCGGTGGGCGTCGGGCGAGCCGCGAGAGAGCCCTCATTAATCCGCGGCGGACCTGCAGCGCGTCAACCAGCGGGTAATTACGCCGGAGGTGTCCGCAATTATCGCACTCGCCGCCCGGACAACAAAGAGACCAGGACGAGGCTGCATAATGGCGGCCTCGGCGGCGGCGGCGACGTCCTCAGAAGCGGGACGGCGTCGCGCGCAGCATGGAAACGGCCGCATTAGCAAGGCCTTCCTCCGGCCTTCTTCTGCGCCTCCCTCTTTGGCTCCCTCCCTCCGGTCTTTCCCCGAGACCTTTTCCCTCCCCCGCCCTCCTCCTCCTCCTCCTCCTCCTCCAGGGCCGCCCGACGTGCCGCCCAGGGAGCCCAAGGAGGTCCATCACCCTCGCGAGCCTCCAGGACATGGCCGCTCGCTCATGCCGTCTCTCGCCCACGCCCACGAAGCCGCCCGCGAACTCCTTTTCCTCTTGGTAGTATGCGGCTGAGGACAAGGGAGATTGTGCTTGGATGAAGGAGGGATAACTCTCTCGCTATATCGTCGCACTCTCTCTCCCTCCCTCCTCTCTCTTTCTCTCTCTCTATTATCTATCTTTTCATCTCTCTCTCTCTCCCTCACACTCGTTCTCTTGTTCTTTTTTTTCTCCCTGTCTCATTCTCTCTCTTCCTATACCCTTTTCTTTATCCACCTGTTTGCCTCTGTCTCTCTTTCCCTCCCACCTCTTCTCTCTCTCTCTCTCTCTCTCTCTCTCTCTTCTCTCTCTCTCTCTCTCTCTCTCTCTCTCTCTCTCTCTCTCTCTCCCTCCATTCCTCCGTGGGGGGTGAGGGCTGAGTGTGCTCGCAACGCACAGGGCGCCCACACTCCCTCTCCCCATGCAGAGCAGTGCAAGGGCCGCCCACTGTGACGACTCGCACCTTCAGCCATCTACATCGGGAATGAGGCGAGTCTCCTCATAACGCACAGGCCATCCGAAGCCGCTACAACATGGCCATGCTGCGGTGATATGTTGGATCCGACGCCCGTGGGTTGGAGTTATGACTGAGGGATGGGTCGCGTCTTCGGAAAAGGGTTGGGCGGTTGAGAGTATGTACGGACGCGCACTCGTAAAGAAAGAAAGAGAAATAAAGATAAAATAAAGAGTAAAAAGGAAAGAATGAAAGAAGAAGAAGAAAATGGAATCATATATTCACACATACATTCGCGCAAAGGATCATAAAAACAACAGTCATTCATACACATCACACACAAACATGAACGCACACACGCACTCACAAACAAGCACACAAACAATCACACATACCCCCTTCCCTACACCCCCCCCACACACACATGAACCCACAAACAACACACACACACACAATCACACACATCCCCCCCACAACACACATGAACCCGCAAACAAACGCACACACACACATTCACACATACCCCCCCCCACACACACATATAAACCCACAAACAAACACAAACACCCACATACAACAAAAACAAAAAGGGACGCCAGAAAGGACGACTCCTCTTTCCGTGCAAGTCGCCCATTCTTCTCCCTGTCAACACGAAAACGGACATGCCTCACGTCTCATCCTGACACACTCGGGTATATCCTCGCCCTCACACCCTCACGATTTAATCAGACCCTCACGCTACACCCTAGTGAAGTGTAGCAGTTACTCACGGTACACACATACCTTCCCCCGTCGATTCTTCGTTAATATGCAAGAGAAAAGAACAAAAAGAACAAAAAATAACACTAAAATAACAATAACAGCATCGTCGCCTCGCATAAAATCAAAATTCTTTCGGAAAATGTGTTTGTTCCCAGCGTCACTCTGCCTCTCTAAACAATGAGATTAACACATACCCATTATTTCCCCTCTTGTTAGCACTCTGAAAAATACTCCACGTCCCGTACCCTAAGTCCACGGACACGGACACTCCTCCTCCTGTACTTGGGACGTACGTGTGTTCATCCTTCCTTTCCCTGTACATAAAGAAGGATACATCTTTTTATTTATTAATTCATTCCTCTTTATTATTATTCATTATTATTATTATCATATTATTATATTATTATATATTATATTTATTATTATTATTATCATTTATTTACTGTACGTGGCATATATTCTCAAAGTATGATCTTTCCCAGCTGAGAGAGGCTGCCCCCCTCCCCCCCTCCCCCCTCCCCGTCCACCGTCCGAGGTCTTGGCTTCTCCTTCGGCGATCTAAGGAGTCAGATCCGAAGTCAAGGATATCATAAAGGATATATTATCCAACGAGTCCTACGGTTTAGTGAAGGATCTGTGGGTATCCGTCTCTCGGTCTTGTTCATCGGGGTGGAAATAATGCTCGAGGAAATGAGTGTTCATTTATGAGAATTTTTTTTTGTTTATATCGCCTTGTGAAAATGTCTTTGAACTTCGTATTCAGGTTAGGAAAGAGCTGTCGTTTTATCATTACTGCTATTATTTTTTATTTGTATTCATTTATTATTTATTTATTTATTATCTATTTTATTTAATTATCATTATCATTTTTTGGACTGATGACAAAGAAAATCCTGATAATCCATACAATCAAAAGGATGATGATAAAACATTTCCAAAAGACATAAAATCCTGCCGTCGGTCTAAAAATCGTACATAACAAAAATATGTAAGATAAGAGGGTCATTGAACTAAAGAAAGACATTCGGTTTTAAAAAGCCTGGGCAATATCTGAAAAAAAAATTCCCTGAACTCCCTATCATTCATCTATCTAATTATTTGTCTCCTCATCTCCTTATTTACCCTTCTTTTCCCTCTCCTTGTTCGGAAATATTTCGTTTGTTGGCGGACAATAAGCGCCGAAAAGCCTAAGAAAGTCTAGCGACCGAAAAGGCGTGGGACATGGGCGTTACAATGGCCCCTTTGCCTCTAAAACCACTAATTATTTAAAATGTCTCGAATTAGCGGTCAGATC